ATTATTATCGGGACAAGGAGTGCTTTCGTCAAGCAGGTGGGTAAGTTGAGCGGAGTAGGCTTCTGCTGGCTGTTGTGTTTACAGTTTTTCGGCGTCGAGCATCTGTGAATCGATATTCGCTCCTCGGATCGTTTGAGCCTCTAACACACTAGATGTATGTCCTCCGTCTATCACAACATGATCAATTTGATTTCTCGTTGTTTGATCGGGATGCTGCTAACTATCACGTTTTTTGCTACCGCGAAGTCAATCAACCTCATGCCGTTGTCAGATGTTTCTTCATGGAGGCTGAAGTTTCCGACGGTGAGGCCAAAAATATATTCGCTTCCAAATTTTTGGATTAAAATATCCTAGCAGAATTTTAATGTCATGACCAGGGCAGCGATCATATGATGTTTTTAGGCGCTCGTAAAATGCTCATCTTTGTCTTCGGCCGGTCTGCTCATCTTTGTCTGCTCATCTTTGTCTTCGGCCGGAACATGGGTACAAATGAGACTCATGTAGAAGAACTTCACTTTTATACGGATAGCAATTCGCTCATCTACTGAAGTTAATCGGAAGACGAGGCCTATTATTCTCCTGTTAACCACAAATCAAGAAATCTATTCAAACTAGTGTTTTTTTTGGATTTAAGGAATCGTTTAACAAATGGCGCCCAACGTGAAATGTAATAGCAGCCAAATTCATTTTTCATGTCGTGCGTAAACGTGCTTCGCATTTCCTGTAAGGCAATATTATTGGCTTTGTACTTCTAGAGTACATCCGCCAAAGCGGGGGTCGTTTGGATTTCTCTGCTTTTTCATAGTAGAGGGGGTTCTTCGAGTGTGGGCAACAAACCCGACGCCTCAATCCTTTTTTATAGTTCTTATGGGTGAACTCGCGGCACATATCACCTCACTATTTCAATGGGTAATGACAATTGCTACCCCAGATGACACCGCGGGATGGTCAGTGTTCACAATTGAGATGAAAGAGGGACAAGATAAGCCAAGGATTCGCCATGTTAAAGCCAATCAGTACCGTTGCTTAATATCTATCATCCCCTACGCCACCCAATACTATAGATAACAAAACGACAAACAGTGGCGATCAATGTCGGTCAATTCGAACAAAAAATCTTTTCAAACTAGTGTCTATCGGATATATGGAATCGATTAACAAATGGCGCCCAACGTGAAATATAATAGTTGTCACATATAAAAATTAATTTAAAAATTCATTCATGCATATAAAAATTATATTAAAAAAAGAAAACAATAAAAATTAACTTACAAATCCGCCCAGTATGTTACATTATAATTTAGTTAGATGGCGCCCAACATAGGACATTTTGTAAAGAAAAAAATAAATTTCTAATAAATATAGATACCAAAGCGGCAAGATAATGGCAACATGCGAACAAAAGATAGAATTTTCGAAGTAGTGTTTATCGGATTTATGGAAATGGCGCCCAACGTGAAATATAAAAAAATGACATAAAATAAACAATCAACTTGTAATTTAACATCGCAAAATGTGTGTAGCCCTGTGTAATAATTTTTCAAAAACAATAAACACACATATACAACGACAACAAAACTGTGTGTGTGTATATGTATGTGTACATGCGTGCACTACCATTGTTATTTACAAGGGATGAAGTGGATGGAAAAACAAAACAAAAAAAGCGAAATGATAGAATAAGAATCACTTGTCACACAACTGAAAATCGGAATGAAAAAGAAGAGAATACAAAATAAAAATATACAGAAGGCGAGCAACACAGCAGAAAAAATAATAACGAATACAATAAATCCCAACAATCCCACCAAAAAAATAATTTTGCAGTCATCCATCCAAACATCTATCCAGCAAAGTCAAACAAGCAGCCATCCAGCCAGCTAGGCAGGCTGGCTGACAGTCATCCATTGAATGAGTGTGCGAGTGAGAGTGGTGGTTGGTGTTCGAGGTTAGCGATTTTGTGTTGGTGTTGCTGTTGTTGTTGTAGCAGTAGCATCTCTATTATCCCGTTTCACTTTTTCGTGGGGGAGGTGCTTGTTGAACAGCAACATCCTTGGTGATTGGTTGGTTGCCTAGTTGCCGGTCTATTGTTACATGGCGATGGAAATAATGAGAGTGTTGTGGATGTGTAAGTGTGTGCGTGCGAGAGGATAATAATAATACTGCTGCAACAGCTATTGCTGCTTCTGATTGGAATGGTGGTGTTTTTGTTAGTGTTGGGGTGGGTGTTGGTTACAAGTGTTTCCGCTTTTGGGGGGGGTTCTTTCTTTTTGTTGTTATAGGAAATAATAAAAATGCGTAAAACAGCTACTTTCACCTAAGCGTAATTTTCGATGATGATGATAGCAACAAAAGGAGAATTTTATTTTGTAATTTTTGTTGTTGTTAGGCTATCCAATTTCAGTGCTAAGGAAACTTTGGCGAAGTTTTTTTCTTTCGATTTTTGCCAAGGAAAATAAATCTTCTTCACTAACCAAGTTGGGTTGTGTGAGTGTGGTGGGGTAGGCTGAGGGGGGAAGAGAAGTTGTTGAATGTTGTTGTTGTTGGTTGTGATGCTGTTGCCTGCGTTTTGGTGGTAGCAACGAAATCACGCAGCAGCACCACCACCATCATCGGCATATTCGCCTTTCGAATCATCACTGTTGCTCACGTTAACGCCATTATTATTTTTATTATTATCGTCATCGTTATTCATCAATCCAGTGAGCCAGCCAACCAACCACCCCGTCATCTATCCATCCATCCAACCGTCATCCTTGTCGCCAGTTTTACTCTCTCTCCCATTGTCCTATTAGTTGAGGCATTTTGCCGGGATAAAGTTCAAATTGGTGTTCAGTTGTAATTCGACCATTCGCTGCAGACGTGCGTTGAACAGTTTACGCGCTGATGTTGCCCGGGTAACATAAGCGAGCACCGAGCTTTTCTAGCCAGTAACCAAGAAGAAGCTAAAGAAGAGCAAAACCATTCTGCCTGCCTGACAAGTGTTTTTGCCAAAGAACCTTCCGGCCCTGTTCACTTTCACTTTTTCCCAAATCAGTGTTGCTTGGTCATTGCTACGTGACGACAGCATCCAAGAGCATCTAACATTTAGAGTAAACCTTCGCCTGTTTATTTGTTGTTATTGTTGTGTGTGTATGGTGTCCTTGATTTCTTCACCATGGTGGATTCATGGAAACCTTAGTCGTTCAACGGCCGTTGTCCAGATAAAATAATAATAATAATCGTTTGGAAAATTTTTTCGTTTGGATTTTAAATAAGTTTTGTGTTGTTGTAACGATTCGGTGTTCTGAAAAAAACGAGAAGAAGAAGAAAAAATTTTGGATTATTTAAAAAATCAATCAGAAGATGGGTGTACCTCACACACCTGATCCAAAACTCCGTTAATTCTTGTATCCATAGTTGTGAAAAACAATAAAATTAAATCTCCAAACAAAAACAAAAAATCGGGTGTTCGGCTCTTGACTCTTTACTGTGTCTTAGCCTCACGAAGAACCTTCTTAGGGCACCTGTAAAAAATAATAACACTTAAATATCATATTTTTATAATCAATCGAATGTTCTTACGAGTTATTTTTTTGACAACAGAGGGTCTTCGCCTCATCAGCTGCTTATTCTTCCCGTGAAAACAGAATAAAAATTAAATATCGATTTCTCAATCTGTCTCACGACTCTTCCTTCCTGGGTCTTCGCCTCATCAGCTGCTTATTCTTCCTGGAAACAAAATAAAAATTAAATATCGATTTCCTGAAATCAATCGAATGTGCTCACGACTTCTTCGACAGTCTTGCAATATGTAAATACATTATTGACCTCCTGTCGGACTCCACCCTGGGTATTCGCCTCATGAAAATTAAGAAAAAAATTAAAGATTAATTATCGTATTTTTGAAATCAATCGAAAGAACCCACGACTTCTTCGGCAGCCTTGGAATACGTCAAAATATTATTCAGCTCCCGCCTGGCTCCATCCTCGGGTCTTGTCCATACGAAGCGCCTTCATAGCACCCTGAAAAATAATAAAAATTAAATATCGTATTTTTGAAATTAATTGAAGGTACCCAAAACTTCTTCAAGGGCATTGGAACACGTAAACAAATAATTCAGATCTATCCGACTTCGCCACCTCAGTCCAGCTGAGAAAAAGAATAAAAATTAAATATATATTTTTTTAAATCAATCGAAGTACCCACAACTCCTTCAACAGCCTTGGAATACTTTGAAAAAAAAAAACAGGACCTGTCTGACTCATTCCTGGGTCTTTGGCACGTGAACCACCTCCTTTACCTACCTGAGAAAAATAATAAAAATTAAATATCGGATTTTTCTGAATCAATCCAAGGTACTCACGGCTTTTTCTGAAGCATTGGAAATAAATAATTCAGATACTATCCGACTTCTTCCTGGATCTTCGCCTTCCTGGATTAAATATCAGATTTTTCGAATCAGTCCAAGGTACCCACGACCCTTGGAATACGTCACCAATTTTTCGGATCGTGTGGGGCTTCTTACTTGGTCTTCGCCTCATGAAACATTGCCTCAGTCCGTCTGAGAAAAATGTCGAAGGTACCCACGACTTCTTCGGCAGCCTTGGAATACGTAAATAAATAATTCAGATATTATCCGATTTCTTCCCGTGTATTCGCCTGATGAATCACCACCTCAAAAATCACCTACAAAAAATTTAAAATCGAGCCTTCCCGACTTCTTTAGTTTCAACTGCAGCCTTGGAATACACCAACCATTGATCAGCCACTGTCCTGCTTCGTCCTCGGGACTTACCACATGTAACTGTTCCTTGGACACCTGGAAAAATAATTAAAAATTAAAAAAACACCCCGACTTCTTTTGAACCTTGGAATACACCAAAAATTACGTAGTTCCCGCCGAACTCCATCCTTCCGATTTTACCACATGTAACACCTTCATAAACTCGTCGAGAAAATTTAAAAAAACATACACAAAAAATCTACCGTTTAAAAAATCTCCTTCGAAATCAATCGAATGCATTCACGACTGCTATTGGATCAACAGCAGCAGCAGCATTTACAACAACAATTGCAGCATTTGAATACCACGCCGAATTTTCAGCATCATTTTTTGGAAAAGTGTCGTTGTGCGTCCCGAACACAATTTGATTGTATACAGGGTCATACTCATCATTTTCCGACAGGACAGCAGTATCATCATCAGCAACAGCATCATCACCACCACTCTTCTACAACACGACAAAGCCACCACAATCAATTATTAACGCCGGCATATCAATATTCAAATTCGTACTATCATCATTCACCACCATCACAACAACAACAACAACACCAACAACATTTACGACAGCAATATTGTCCAGCAAATCAATTGCAGCATACAAGACAGCAACAACAACAAAATCCAACAGCAACAACAACGCAACAATATTTGCATTCGCATACACGAAGACTGCATCACACTTCGGCAGTAACCTCTCTCTCTCAGCAGCAGCATCAGCAACAACACACATCAACTCAAACATATTTTAAGCAACAACAGCACCATACCATAGTCCAGCATTTGTATCAACAGCAACAACAACAAAATCAATATCATCATCGCCACCATTCAACTCCCCAGCATCCACCTGCCCACCATCCTGCTCACAACCATCCTCTATCTCTTCATCTAACTCCCCATCCTCCTCCCCCTTGTGCACGTCAACCATCTTCCTCCTCCTGCGCCACCCTCGTTGCCAACGTTCCCGCAAATTGTTGTACATCCATAGCAGCCACTGCAGCAGCAGCTGCAACATCATCTCTATCACCGGCAAACAGTTGTTCCTCACCTGCAACGATAGCAACACCACCAACACCATCGCCACTACCTCTACCTCCACCAAATCCATCTGCAACAATGTATCGGCGTCACAACAATCTATCCTATTGTGGTGGTATGTATGTCAACCTAACCAAAAAAGAAATCACTTCTCTTTGTCGGTCCGCCTGCCCGTCCGTCCGTCCGAGAGCAGCAGTAATACTGCACAAAAATTCTATCCTATTCAGCCCAACAAACACAAAACAAAAGTCAATTTCAATTTTTCATCAATCATCGAAAGTCATCGACATCATCAGGTGTAATATATAGCCAGTCAGTCCGCCAGCCAGCCAAACAAGTTGGGTTGTAACCCATTTTTTGTTTTTTTTCTTTTTTTGTCCGGTCGGGTATCCTTTGCTGCTGACCAACGAGTAGTTCGTTATTGGAAAAAAAATTAACCCATTCAGTTGTTTGTTACAGCTCCAATCGTAAAGTTATAAAAATTAGAAATTTCAAAAATTTTAAATTCTTTTAATTAAATCGGTCTTATTGGAGTGGAATCTTATTTTCGGGTTCGAAGTGGACTTTAAAAGAAATTGAATAAAATAAAACATAAGTGATGTGAATTGAAGTGAAATTAATCCCATCGAAAATATCCGCAATTTAAGTGAAACAAAAAATTAAAAAATATTGCGGTGGCATAAAACATAATCTGAAGGTCCGTTAATTTTTTTTAAGTTTAACGGCCTGTTGACATCTGATTAAAAAATAATAATCGTCGATAAATCCCAAAGCATAAATTTTAATTACTAATCAATATAAAAAAATAAGGTCGGATTCATATTGCATCTAAAAATCTCCCCTCAGCATACATATGGCATTCAAATTTAAATGAACAGTGGCCTATATGGATCATATCGCCCATTTGCTTCAAGACCAGCATAAATCAAAAAAAAAAAAAATGATTGTGCAGAAATTGAGTTAAAAGTTTTCAATTTTCGCACATCTTATATGAGACAGAGTGTGTATTAGATATTCATCTGATTTTCTAACACAACCAGAAGTCTGATATTGCGAGCAATTCCGTACCATTAACTCCAAAAGTTTTTGATTTATGCCGGTCTTGCAGGAAATGAGCGATAATACTTTACTCCCCTGTATTGGGGTTTTAGTGGAATTTTCAGATTCCAAAAAAAAAACAACAAATAAAATAAAAAAAAAATAAAGTTTAAGGTTTTCGACTGTCAAACACAAGGTGTACACACCGAAAACGTCATATATATGTATAAAATGTAATAAACGTAGTAAACGTCATTTATATCAATATTATCAGTATTATACAGTTATTTTCAAGAATATATATTATTTTTATCCCCCATATATCTGACTATTCAAAACGATAAAAATTTCTAAATTTTTTTGAAAGAAAATTTTGAGATTTTATATCGATTTGAAAACATGCGTAATTCCCAAATTGATTAATGGAAATAGCTATTTTGTCAAAAACCTAATGGATTTAGGTATGTTTCCGACGTTTCTGACGTATGTATTATACGTCGGAAATGTATGTCATTTACGTCACTGTTTCTGACAGGCCATCTCTGATCCCCTTATAGTCCATTATACATTTAGAAAATTTTCAGATAGAGTCCAAAAAAAAATAAACAAAGTTTCACAGGTAGACCAAACACAATGGACACCCCAGAAACTCTCCTATGTGGGGAATGGGCCATAAACATTTTACCGACGGGAAACTAGGGATATGTAGTCGAGCGCAAATGTCGACTTTTAGACTTTTCAATTTTTGCTCTGACCAAAAAGTCGATTTTTAGACTTTTCGATTTTGTCAAACCTGTTCAAAATCGATTTTCGGCATTTACCGACCGATGCAAAATTTACTAAAAATAGTTTTTTTATACCCTTCACCACACTGTGGTACAGGGTATTATGTCTTTGTTCATATGTTTGTAATGGATGAAATTTGGCACAGTTCATTGTTTGGTCCAAGGACGAACCCTATTGAAATTGTAAAAAATCGGTTCAGATTTGAATATAGCTCCCATATATAGTTTCGTCCGATTTTTAGTAAATGGGTGCACCAAAGCTCCAAAATATGGCCGATTGACACAACATTTTGCACAACGTACTGAAGTTACTATAACATAACGTTTGGCATGTTTCGTTGAAATCGGTTCAGATTTGGATATAGCTCCCATATATATTTTCTTCCGATTTTAAGTAAATGACGCATCAAGGACCCCCATTCTCGGTGTCAAAAAGTTTTTTGCATTAATCTACGAATCTACTCTAATTCTAGAATGTCCCTACAACATTTCAAGTGAAAATCTAAAGAACTCTTGAAGATATAGCCGATTTATGGTGTCAACCTCAAGTGACGGCTGAAGTGCTCCTCAAACTTTAAACGCGTTTTTCTCGAAACAGTTTTTTACGAATGGCGGGCACGATAACTCAATAACTAATTATCCAATCGGTTCCAAATTTTGACACGTTTCTCTGGGAGTGTATAGCTCTCGTATGAACTAGGATAAAGGCAATCGGTGAAAATCTCAAGTGACGGCTGAAGTGCTTCTCAAACTTTAAACGCGTTTTTCTCGAAACAGTTGTTTCACGAATGGAGGGCACGATAACTCAAAAACTAATTATCCAATCGGTTCCAAATTTTAACACGTTTCTCTGGGAGTTTATACCTCTGGTATGAACTAGGATAAAGCCAATCGGTAAAGATCTTCCTCAAAAAAAAAATTTCAAAGTTCCGCCATTTTATTAATTTTGTATTAATTTTGTTCGAATTCAATAATCCTAGTTCGTCAGACATGTACTCTTTTTAACACCGTTGGAATTTTCGGATTCCGATGTTCCTGTGAGGAGTTATCATGTCCGCCATCAAAAATAAGGACTTTTCTTTAATTACAAAATACAACAACAAAACAATAAATCGGACGAAAAAATATATGGGAGCTATATCTAAATCTGAACCGATTTTCAGGAAACTTAATACACACCATTTTAGACCTAATTCATTACGCTGTGCCAAATTTTATACAAATCGAAAGATATTAAGGGACTTTGGTACAACATTTACCTTAAATCGGACGAAAATATATATGGGAGCTATATCTAAATCTGAACCGATTTTCAGGAAACTTAACACACATCATTCTAAACCTGATTTATTACGCTGTGCCAAATTTCGAGCAAATCGAAAGATATATAGAGACTTTGGTGGATTATTTACATTAAATCGGACGAAAATATATATGAGAGCTATATCTAAATCTGAACCGATTTTCAGGAAACTTAACACACATCATTCTATACATAATTCATTACGATGTGTCAAATTTCATGCAAATCGAGAGATATATAGAGACTTTGGTGCACCATTTACATTAAATCGGGCGAAAATATATATGGGAGCTATATCTAAATCTGAACCGATTTTTCCCAATTTCAATAGGGTTCGTCCTTGGGCCAAATTAGTGACCTATACCAAATTTCATCCAAATCGGATCATAAATGCGACCTGTACATTGTTCACAAAAATACATGGACGGACGGACATGCGTAAATCGACTCAGAAAGTGATTCTATGCATATTCTCAAAAGGAACCATGTGTCTATCTCGTTTCCTTTTGCCCGTTACAAACATATGCACAAATACATAATACCCTGTACCACAGTGTGGTGAAGGGTATAAAAACCATTTGCTACTACACACAAATTACCAAATCCCTCGATTTCACTCTAAGAGTAACTTAATCTACTCTATTTCGAAAATTTTGACTCCCACTCTTTTTCTTTCACAAGGAGTTCTATCGAGCACTCCCACACAAAATAAAAGAGAGGAGAGTATAATCCTTAAAAAAAACTCGTACACTTCACGTACTAGCGATAATTTTTCACTCGCCGGGAAAATCGAGCAAATCGGAGCTCTGGAAATAACAGCCACTTCGAGTAAGAAAATACCGAAAATGTGTCCGGACCTTTATTCCAGTCATCTAAGTAGTTGTAATTTTGGAGTTTCCGACGATTATTTCGAGGTGTTGCAAACGGAATGGCAAATTTAATATACAATCCACCGTTTGATGTAGGATTTAAAAATTTACTATAGGATTTCGGGGACGAACACCAACCGGTCGTAATTTTAACCTCAGTTAAATGGCAAGTGCAAAGTTTTGGGCGGATTTGGAACGGATGGATCTGATAACTAGAATAAAAGTCAAAATTATTGGTAATTTGTAGATTACCATTAAAAATTTTCTTATTTAAAACTCATAAATACGAATTCTGTGTGAGTCAAACAGTGCTGGAGGATATTTTAATGGTTGTAACACCAATCGACGCCTTGATATGTTCTCTGTACAGAATTGTGCGACCGTCTGCGACCCTTCATAAACTTAAGAGTCATTCGATTCCCTACACAAATACCACCCTCTTGCGCGATTAGAGATCAACAGCACCCCTTTGTTACACCAATATATTTTCCGAATATTACTAATATTCAGTACAGCTCTTCTAATTGCTTGTCAAGATTCTCTTCACCGTGAGTTGTGTTGTGATGTTCGGCTTATAAATGTGGCCTATAGATGGACTCGAAAAAAACACAAAAAAAAATAAGTTTTCGGTCCACTTCATCCCAAAATTGTTATCTGACCATCACCGAAAATTATAGGCGTTGTCCTTGGCCATAAATTTTCGCCCTCTAGTGTGGTACTAAATAATATATAAATACGTAAGCACCAGTAAATATTTAAGTGTAACATTTAAAGGTCAACCACTCCTCTCGGATATACTATCAACTTCCCAGGTCTATGTCCTTCAGGGGTAAATATATATGCCATAGAATACCAAATGTGCAATTTTTTACACATAAGTCAGGGTCCATTTGACCCGCTAAATATAGACCGATCTTTATCAAAACAGGCATTCTTATTCTTTGGTCCGATCCCCTTCTCCATGTAAAATTTCACGAAGTTCGAGCCATAATTGCGGTCTCTGCAGCGACCAGAAAAAACGACAAAAATTAAGTATTTGGTCCATTTTATCCCCTAAATATTAAGTGATATTTACCAAAAACAATAGGGGTCTTCATTGGGCAAAGCCCATCCTACATGCAAAATTTCATGAAGATTGGTCCATAACTGTGGCCTGTATCGTGTTTACAAATTATAGTGGACAGACGGACGGACGGACATACATATCTAGATCGACTCAGCTAGTCGAGATATGATCGGTATACTTAAAGGTGGGTCTAGGACCAATATTTCGCGGCGTTACAAACTTTTGGGGCTGCACAAAGCTGTAATACCCTGACAACATAGTTGTGTAGGATATAAATATCAATATTTGTCCACATTTTGGGTTAGTCCCCATATAATATCCAAATATTTGGATATTGGGCAAGTTTTTCAATCGAATTGGCTGTAGTTTGATATATTGGGTCCTAATTGAGTACCAAATCCTTCCACCAAAAGTTGGCAATATTGGTCCAATTATGAAATTAATACAAGAAATTAAAATTTAGGCATTTCCTTGCGTCTGTACATCTATTTTTATCATACTACCTTCGGAAGGTATCAAGAAATAAAGCTAAAATGACATATCCCCCAAAAAAGATACTTCCAGAATTTCGGAATTTAAAATTTTTATTTATTTAAATTTTGCCTTAAAGGCGATAATCATTGGAATTATTTTTAAGTGAAAAAAGGTACAAAACTTAGAGGTTAGGTTGGAAAAATAGCCTCATCGCCCCATACCTTCCATTTTGCGGAATGTCCTACCAGGTATAGGATTTTATACTCATGTTTCACCCTAACATGCGTTATTCATGTTTTTTGGTCGTAAGATTTTAGTAGTAATCATTATAAGTTTAAGTTTCTGAAATTAGCATTACGTGTGTTATGTTCTGAAACCTACATTACACGTATACTATCAGATTATCTATGACGGTGGTTATCAAAACTTCGCCCCGGCCGAGATTAACGCTTTCACCTGTTACAACTTTTACTATACATTACTCCAATGCGCGACGGCAATTTTTCTTAATATACCATCATAAAATTCGTATTGACTAAATCCAAAATTTAAATCGAACCTTACAAAACTCTCTTTTATATATTCCAGTAAGTCAAGAGCCGGGACAAAATTATCAAGTTCAATATGTGGATACCGAATTATATCACAGTAATTCCAGTCAATCACAAATGTAAGTTCAAGCATTATCCATTCTCAACTATACCCCCCTCCCCCCACATCATAAAAAAAATTGTATTTCTTTTCACCTCGCAGGACATATCCATTTTGTCCCATCGGAGATTATCAACCACCAAATGGACAATCGTACTACACAACTACCCACACAGCCAATTATTCCACAGCAGTTCCATTAAATGCCCCAGCAGTACCACATCATTCAACGTTGCCGTATATTGTGCCGACGGAAGAAACGTTGCTATTGAATGCCTCATCACAGACGCACAGTCGTGATTCGCCACACAGTCTAACAGTGAGTAAATATTTGATTTGGCAAATAAAATACAATTTTTATAGAAATATTTGCAGTTTTATATTTAATTGTATTAATATGTTTTTATTTCCGATTTTGTAGGAAGTTCCATTTATACCGGATACTCATAGTAGCTCACAAACGCCCACTTCGACCACTGCCAATTCGGTGAATGTGGGCAGTATTGGTGCAAATGGCGGTGGCGGCGGTGCTGGCACTGGTGGAGGCAGCAGTGGTGGCAGTGATGTCTCACCTGACAATGAGCATGGCTTAATGGGAAATACCAATAAAATTGCTTCGGCAACGGTAAGTAGATATGGTGGATGGCTGGTTGTATAGCCGACGGTCTATCAGATTCTGATGATTGTGTTCAAACGATTCATCAGTCCTTGATAAAATATTCTTTTAAAAATTCACGCCTTGGATAGTCCTTGAAAAAATATTATTTAAAAAATTAAATTTTCCATTCTACACGAATTTAACGGAACCTCCTCCCTTCTTACAGATCAAATGGTTATCGAGAAATTACGAAACAGCTGAGGGTGTAAGTCTACCCCGATCCACTCTCTACAATCATTATATACAGCATTGTAACGAAAGTAAAATCGAACCGGTGAATGCAGCGAGTTTTGGCAAATTAATACGATCGGTATTTTCCGGTCTGCGAACGAGGCGTTTGGGTACCAGAGGAAATTCTAAATATCATTATTATGGTATCCGAATTAAACCCGAATCGATATTAAATCATATGATGGATGAAAAACCGAATACATTTCAAACACATCACCCCCACGCCCACCATCATCAACATCATCCGCATTTGAATCCGGCCAATTTGACATCGGATCAAGCAAGTGCAATGGTGGCATGTAGTTCGAGTGGCATCGTGTCAGCAGCTGGCGGGGGACCAATTGGTGAGTTACATGCAGCCAATAATAATGCGGGGAATAGTGGTGGAGGTCTCCATCACAGTAGAGGGGGAAAGAAAACGCACACCTTTAAATCGGAGACACATGAGGCCTGTGGACATGTAAGTGTGACTGGAGATTTAAATCTGCAGATTAAAAATATGTATCTTTTATCTGAATCTCATAGTTCTTGGGCAATGGTTCCGGAGCCATACCACCCTTTCCACCCATTGAATTGGACAATACCTTTGACAGTGAATTAACACCGGACGATGTGGAAACCTTTCGCTCCATGTATCGAGAACATTGTGAAAATTTCCTAGATGCGGTACTCAATTTAGATTTCAATACCATTGAATTTTTGTGGCGTGATTTTTGGCGTGAAAATGCCCAAGGTGACGAATGTCACGAGGAAGATAAGTATTTAAGTAAAACGAAGCTGTATCTCCTATGCCACTGTGCAGGTGTTCAGAAATTTGTGAGAGAGGTAAGTCAATAAAATCTGAAACTAGTTTTCGAAATTTATTTAATTTTGTTCTCCCTCCCTTTGCAGGTCGATTATCAATTCTATCAGAATATGGTTGATGTCATAATACCGGATGTGTTGCGTTCCATACCCAATTCTTTGACTCAGGCCATACGTAACTTTGCGAAAAATATGGAAATTTGGCTATGCGAATCAATGATTGGTGTTCCGGAACGTATGGTCCAAATTAAATCATCGGCGGTATCGGCATTTTGCCAAACCCTCAGGCGTTATACATCGCTCAATCATTTGGCCCAGGCAGCCAGAGCGGTGTTGCAAAATAATTCCCAGATCACTCAGATGTTGAATGATTTAAATCGGGTGGATTTTCATAATGTTCAGGTGAGTAGAGATATGCATTCTAAAAAAACTAAAATCGATGGAATTGTTGGTAGGACACGCCCAATATAAATTACTTAGAAGACCATGTTCCGAGATGTTGTCTTCTGCTTGATCTTTCCATCGGATTCGTGGCCTCCCCTTTCTGCGTGAACCATCACTTGGCTCGCTTTTATATGACTTTTGAGCAGAGGCATTTTCATTCATTCTCTCAACATGACCTAGCCAGCGCAGTCGCTGCAGCTCGATACGTCTGGCTATGTCGATGTCAGAGAATAGATGGTATAGCTCATGGTACATTCGACGGCGATATTCACCATTGACGCGGATCGGCCCATAGATCTTCCGGAGAATTTTCCCCTGAACACTACAAGAGTTGCATCATCTGCTTGCGCAAGTACCCATGCTTCAGATCCATACAACAGCACGGGTAATCTCAGCGTCTTGTAGAGTGTGAGTTTGGTCTGGCAAGAGGTGACCTTGCTCTTGAATTGCTTACTCAGACCCTAGTAGTATCTGTTGGCCAACACTATCCTTCTCCGTATCTTCAAACTGATGTCATTAGTTTAATTTATGGCTTTAACGAGGTACAAAATCGTTCACCAACTCGAAGCTGTAGTTTTCAAATTCCACACTTGGTCCAAGTCTACTGGACGTCTTGCATATTGATACCGTCAGCTAGGTCTTCTCACCATTTACTGCCAAACCCACATTGGCTGATTCCTTCTCAACTTCTTCAGTGGTGGTTGTTACTGTTCGCAATGTTCGACCCATTATATCTATGTCATCGGCGTTGGCGAGTAACATGTGTTGTTTGGTGTACAGAGTGCCATTTATGTTCACATTTGCATCTCGCTTGACCTTTTCCAGCAGGATGTTAATAAGATCACACGAAAAACTGTCATATTGTCTGAATGCTCGTTCAGTATTAACCTTGTGCCAGTTAAAGTTATCCTGCATAGCCGTATTCATTTTGCAGGAATGCCGAACGCAGACATTGCTTTAAATATCTCTGAACGGATAGGGCTGTCGAATGCGGCTTTATAGCCGACAAATAGATGAAATATGTCGATGTGTTTTTCGTGGGTCATTTCCAGGATTTGACGCAGAGTGGTCATTGGTGGATTTGATGGAGAGGTCCTCTCCGACTTTAACTGCTGACGTTGTGCCACTCAAAGTTATCCTACATAGCCGTATTAATTTTGCAGGAATGCCGAACGCAGATACGGCTTTAAATATCTCTGAACGGTCAGGGCTGTCGAATGCGGCCTTATAGTCGACGAATATGTGTATTTTTTTCCAGGATCTGGCGCAGAGTGAAAATCTGGTCAATTGTGGATTTGCCAGGTCTGAAGCTGCATTGGTATGGTCCAATAATGTCATTGACCATTGGCTTAAATCGATCACACAGCACTTTAATCCGATGGTAAGGAGACTTTTTCCTCTATAGATGGCACATATCGTCTTGTCTCTTTTTTGTGCACGGGACACAGATTGCCACATTGTACTAATCAGCTGGTGCAGCATCTGACGACTAGTTTGAATAGTTCGGCTGGTAACCCATAGGCACCTGCTGCTTTATTTTTCTTCAGCCGATTGATTACTATTCTGACCCCATCTTGGCTAGGTGGTATACACCCTATACCGTCATCTCTTATATGAGGATCTGGAAGGAGAGTTTTCAAAATGTTATTTCTAGATCCTCAACATACCGTCATCTCTTATTGGTTCTGGGGTATCTTCTTCGCCGCCACTTTTTGAGGATCTGGAAGAAGCATTTTCAAAATACTCTTTCCAACACGCTGTCAGAATCTGTCACTTCATTCTGAATCCGTATATCTCGATTTGGTCCCGCTCACGTTTTTCTTGTTCTATCTTCTGTAATACGTTTCTCATCTCTCTTCTCCCGGTAATTCCCTTCGTGTTTGTAGCTTTTCGACGTCGAGTTTCCGTGTTGTGTTAGATCGCACCTTTGCTGCTACATTAAGACGAGTCCGAACCTTGGCTGCTACAAAGTAATGGTCATCTGGTATTAGCTCCTTCTTTATCTCTACAAATACTGGATGAATGCCTTTCGTCTATCACAACAGGATCGATTTGATTTTTCGTTGTTTGATGGGGAGAAATCCAGGTGGCCTTGCGTATATCGAGATGCTTGAATCTGGTGCTGCTAACTACCTCATGCCGTGTTGTCTGATGTTTCTTCATGGAGGCTAAATTTTCCTACGGTGGGGCAAAAAATATTTTCCCTTCCGATTTTTGCATTAAAATCTCTTAGCAGAATTTTAATGTCATGGCCAAGGCAGCGGTCATATGCTGTTTCTAGACGCTCGTAAAATATGTCTTTGGTATGTTAATCTTTGTATTCCGTCGGAGCATAAGCACAAATAAGACTGGTATAGAAAAACTTCGTTTTTATACGGATTATAGCAATTCGTCCCTTTCCAGGCGCATTTCTTGTAAGGCAATATTATCGGCTTAGTACTTATTGGGTGTATCCGCCAAAGCGAAAACTGCGCCTGTTCTGTACCACATGCGCATGTTCCAAGTGTAGGTTAGCAGATCGTGGTCCTTTATACGTTTGCGGTGGTCGTCAACATTAGGGGTGTTTGGTTTTCTTTTTCTTAGCTTTTTCATAGTAGGTTGGGAACTTCGCTTTTGTATAGATTATAGCAATTCGTTCATCTACTGGAGTGAATCTGGAGAGGAGGTCTTTTGTTCTCCTGTTAACTATAAATTCTCTGTCAAATTTATGTCTCGTTTCATGGCAGCATTAATACAGTGCGTAATCGTCCACAGCATTTCCTCTAAGGCAATAATATCGGCTTTGTACTTCTTGAGTACATACGCCAAGCGAAAACTGCACATGTTCTGTACAACGTTCGCACATTTCAAGTGCAGATTTGCCATTTAATTTTCGTTTCAATATTTAAAAAAAAAAATTAATTCCTCCTTCTTTCAGGAACAAGCCGCCTGGGTATGCCAGTGTGATCCTTCATTGGTGCAACGTCTCGAAAATGATTTCAAAACCACACTACAGCAACAATGTTCCCTGGAACAATGGGCAGCATGGCTGCAAGTGGTTGTTGACTCAGTACTGCAGGAACATTTTGGTAAACCTAGCTATGCCAAAGCGGCACGACAATTTCTATTAAAATGGAGTTTTTATAGTTCAATGATAATACGTGACTTAACATTGAGATCTGCATCGAGTTTTGGTAGTTTCCATCTGATACGCCTACTCTACGATGAGTATATGTTCTATTTGATCGAACACAAGGTAGCGGAGGCTCATCAAAAAACCGCCATTGCAGTGATATGTGATTTAAAGGTGAGTTGCGGATTTTCAATTTTTAAATAAATAAATTCTGATTTTTTATTTTTCCTTTTCTTATTACAGCAAAAAGATGTTGAATTTGATTTTGGTTATCAATTGGAATTTATTACCTCGGATTCAATGTCATCTGAACGTGGCGCAACCAAACGTTTGAAACATGAATGAGTTATGTTGTGGCAATCAACAGTAGCCGCCTATTCACTGGGATGATACGAATTATTAGTGGAAGTCAGCCTTCCATAAAATATTGCAATTGAAATTGTGTACCTCTACAACATAGATTTATGTACATATATATATATATATATTATCTCATCATTGTATATATCACTTACTATATACAATCGAAATAACGATGGCCAAGGGGCCGGCAAAGTTCGAAGGTCGAAGCTTTTTCGGAAGTGGATATAACCGACATGTCGTTAAAAATTGTGTTCGTATAAACAATTTCGACTATATACATTTATATATGTATATGGTTAAATATTAAGACATCGATGGAAAAATATCAAGTTGATCATAGTTTGAGATAATCTGGACTTGTCCGAACCAATCTAGAAACTGATCATATATTCAGCACACTAAATATTTTGTAATATTTTCCATATTTCAATTATTTCATATAAAAATAAGCTACACACACACAAAAAAAATCTGTCAAAGAAAAATCTATGTCCCACAAATTATACTCAGGCTAAATAGCAATTGAATGCCCCCGAATAGATTAATTTTTCTGTGGCATTTTCCCGCACCATAAACCAATTTTAGTATTTAATATTAGTATTAAATCTTTTTGTATATGTTTAAAGTAAAAAAACAGTAAAATTATGCCAAAGTAAATAGTATTAAGCCGTCCATTAATTAAAATGAATACAACACTATATAGATTTAAATAAATTGTATATTTCAAAACAGAATCATATAGTAAATATTCATTTTACATAGTCATGTACACACTCGATGTTTGTATGTAGCAATTAATTAATGTGTATATCTCAATGTTTTGTGAATAAAAATAATAAATAATTATTTAAGAATGTAAAACAATTGTTATTTTTATTAAAAAAACAACAACTTTTTAAAATCATCTACACATATAGACTAAAGACACTGAGGGCGGAAATTGGGCTATGACTAAGAACATACCCAAAAAGACGTTAGACGATGGGCTAAATGTGTTCTGTGAAGAAGTAGTTTACCAACTAAAGTCCCGGCATGTAAAATGAGCCTAGACCATAGACGTATATATCTGAAGATTATCCGATATTTAAAAATTTGAGTATGAGTACTCAAAATATCGGAGTGCTGATATATGGGTGTTATACACAAACCGATGGACCGATATTGATAATTTTTGGTAGGAATCCAAAATGTAACAATTACAAAAATGTCAGTAACCGATGGACCGATATTGATAATTTTTGGTAGGAATCCAAAATGTAACAATTACAAAAATGTCAGTAAGTGTTGCCGACACATATATACTCTCTGTAAAATATACAGACAGCCGCAGCTCGTCTTATCAGCTTGGCATGTGGGATTTTTTCTTTAGTTACAAAAAAACAACAACAAAACAACAACACAAATTTTTTGTAAATTATTTTTCTTCTCTTTTAATCTTCAACAAAGTTACATACCTTAACAAGCTTTGGCATCAAATCTTGAAAAATGAAAATCTGTAATCTTCTGTAATACTAAATTCCGCTCAAACTATTTTGAACATGCTGACGACTGGCAAGAAGGGCTGATTAAATTTTTGTCCAAAGCAATTTGAACACCCTCAGTCTATAATTTGCGAATGTCTAAGACAGTTTTTATACCCTATACAACTATGTTGTCAGGGTATTATAGCTTTGCACATCTCCAAGATTTTGTAATGCCCACCTTTAAGTATACCGATCATACCTCGACAAGCTGAGTCAATCTAGACATGTGTGCCCGTTTGTCCAATCTTCACGACATTTTACATGTAGAATGGGTTCTGGCCCTATTAGTTATGGTAAAGATCGGCTAATGCCTTTACACAATGGGCTGAGGTGTCAGACGTTGGACAAGCAAGACTCGGATCGTAGACCCCTCTGTCATGGAAACAGGTTTTTCTGGTCACTGCAGGCAATTATAGCCTAAATATCGCAAATTTTTACATAGAGAAGGGAATCGGGCCAAATAGTAAGCATTTCTATTTTGATGAAGATCCGTCAATATTTAGCGGGTTTAATAGATCCTCAGTTTTGTGAGAAAAATTACAAAATTTGTATTTTATAGCGTATATATTTACCCCTGAAGGACATAGAACCGAAAAGTTGATAATATATCCAAGAGGAGTGGTTGACCTTTACCAATTGTACTGTCGTATGTACTCGGATATATTATTTAGTAACCCATTACCACACTAGAGGGCGAAAATATAGAGCTGATCGCTTTGAAATTTTCCAAGATCATATTAGTAATATTTGTAGAACTTTTGTCGGTCATGCAAATATCGCGAAATATTGACCAAGCTCAGAATATAAAACAACACAAAGTTAGATTTTCGTGGAAGTTGGATAGGGTATCATATAGTCGCCACTTGACCATAATTGGAAAAGTTTCAGATGAGGCTAGTTCATATAACCCATCTCGGAATAAAAAAAAAGTGGATAAAATCAGACATTTCATTATCTTGATATTGGATTAACAAATTTTCAAAATGTTGACACTTGGTGGGAGGAGTGGTCCAATGGGACCCATATTCATGCCTGATCTATTGGAGGTAAATATATTACCATGTGCAAAGTTTGGATGAAATTGGGTATACTGTTCGCCCGATATAAGATTTACAAGTTTTCAAAAAGTTGACGGATAAGTCCCATCTTTCAACATTATACAGTCATGGTTAAAATATTAGGTTGTACAAAGTTTACCTCAAATCGGGTAGTCCGTTTGACTATGTTGTGTGTTAGGTACCAGAGGAAGTGGACCAATTAATAGGAAATGCGTTGGAAAGGGACTGGTGTAAGTAAAACAGATGATTACCCCCTGAAACGAGACGTGAATTTGGCTGCGTATTTATAGTTAATAGGAGAATAAAAGACCTCTCCACTTTCACTCCAGCGAATAGATATAATCCGTATAAAATCGAAGTTCTTCTACATCAGTCTTATTTGCGCCCATCCTTCGACGGAAGACAAAAATGAGCAGACCAAAGACATATTTTTTTCAAGCGCCTAGAAACAGCATATGACCGTGCCCTGGCCATGACATTAAAATTCTACTAGGAGATTTTAATGCAAAAATCGGGAGGGAAAATATCTTGGGCCCCACCGTCGGAAAATTCAGCCTTCATGAAGAAACATCCGACAACGCCATGAGGTTGATTGACTTCGCGGCAGCAAAAAACATAGTAGTTAGCAGCACCAGATTCAAGCTCTCGATATACACAAGGCCACCTGGATCTCTCCTGATCAAGCAACGAGAAATCAAATTGATCATGTTGTGATAGACGGAAGGCATTCATCCAGTGTTTTAGACGTCCGATCGATCCGAGGAGCGAATATCGATTTGGAACACAACCTTGTGGCAGCCAAGGTTTGCACTCGTCTTAATGTAGAAACTGGACGTCGAAAAGCTACAAACACAACAGATAGCAGAAGCCTACTCCGCTCAACCCACCCACCTGCTAGACGAAAGCTCACCTTGTCCCGATAATAATGTAAAAAAAAACAATAGCAAAGAACTGCAGCAAAAGTCACATTTGGGTACCAAAGACCACCATCAAGAAACCCGTGGTACGATCAGGTGTGTCGTAATGCTACTGAGTTGAAAAACGCAGGGTATCGGACAACCCTGCAAACAGTAGCAACCCGCAATGCAAGAGAGAATTATCAGGAAAAAAGAGAGAGAGGAAAAACGTATTTTCAAAAGAAAGAATAAAAAACAAGGAAACCGAGAGCGTGAGCGTGAGCAATTCGAGATGTACAGGAGTCAGAATGAAGTCCGAAAATTTTATCAATGACTAAAAAAACCGAAGGCTTTGCTGCAGGCAAATCCTCCTGTAGACCTGATGATGGAAACCTGGTGACAGATATAGATAGCTTGTTGATGATCTGGAAGGAGCATTTTGCAAAGCTTCTGGTATGAAATAGTGGCGAAGAAGATACCCCAGAACCAGTAAGAGATGACGGTATACAATGTATACCACCGAGCCAAGATGTGGTCAAAATAGGAATCAAGTGGCTGAAGAATAATAAAGCAGCAGGTGCCGATAGGTTACCAGCCTAACTATTTACGACCGGTGGTCAGATGCTGCTTAGTACAATTTGGAATTTATGCCAAACGATTGGAACCTCAGCATCCTGTGCCCCGTGCACAAAAAAAGACAAAACGATATGTACCAACTATAGAGGAATTAGCATTTTTCCCATCACATATAAAGTAGTATCCAGCGTACTGTATGAATGACTGAAGCCAATGGGCAATGACATTATTGGACCATGCGGCTTCAGACCTGGCAAATCCACCATTGACCAGATTTTCATTCTGCCTAGAAAAGACCCACATGGACACATTTCACCTATTCGTCGACTATAAAGCCGCATTCGACACTCCTATCCGTTCAGAGGTGTATAAAGTCATGTCTGCGTTTGACATTCCTGCAAAATTATACCGCTATGAAAAATAACTTTAATTGGCACATTAAGTGTCAGGCTGCGCGTAGCGCCCTAAGGCTACACGAACAAAAACTCTGGCGGAATTGTACCTTTGGGCATAGTAGTGTTCTAAATGAACCAGGTATAGCATTGGACCAACGCGCTACACTAAGCGACTACATATCACCAATCCTTAGATTTGACGATGTAGATGTCGTTATCCCTAGTAGAGACGACTGGAAAAGAAGTAACCCTCCTCTGGACGGTCTGGCCTTTTATACAGACGGATCCAAGATGGAAGAAGGTACTGGGGCAGGCGTCTACTGTGAAAGGTTAGGCCTTGAGTTGACCTACAAACTGGATAGTTTTGTAGTGTTTTCCAAGCTGAAATCTTCGCGATCTGGAAGGTAGCGGAATTGATAAAAAATCTGGATGCTGAGGTCGTTGAACCGGTGACTATCTTTGTGGATAGTCAAGCGGCTCTTAAAGCCATCAAATCTTGCCACATCAAATCCGAAGCCGTCCTCAAGTGTAGAACAGCTCT